TTTCGGTTAAGCATAAAAAAAGTGTTTTGCACTCAATCTCTATAGAGATATTGTATACAACTATACACTCCTATCAATACATTGCAATGCAATGCCATTCACTGACTATGGCTATGGCTTAGGCACTAAACACCAGAATAACTACTTTTCCAATTCATAACCATATCGATGGATGGCAGCCATATAGTGGTGGAGCACTCAATGTAGTCACTTGTGCCCAGAATATCTGCCTATTCTATGATAGCTGTCAGTCTTATGTTATGTTTTGTTAGCCAATTCATGGCCCTCCCTATACACACAATATTGCTCTCTCTCTCTCTCTCTCTCTCTCTCTCTCTCTCTCTCTCATGAGTTTGTTGGCCACAAAACCGGATCAATTCTCATTCACTCGGTTTCATTCGCCCCAACATATGATTCATTGAAATATTTATGAAATATTTTTATGCATTTTATTTTATTTTGTTTTTTAAGCACACAATTTTGCCTTATTCAAATAAATATTTCACTACTTTTTATGACATTATTATTATTTCTTATTTCTATTTTTTTATGATGTCTTTAATTAGTTTTAAATGGATTTCATATATGATTTCGATCTGAGTGTAAGATTTTAATGGTCACAGAATCAGATAGATTTGGAGAGAGAGAGAGAGAGAGAGAGAGAGCAATATTGTGTGTATAGGGAGGGCCATGAATTGGCTAACAAAACATAACATAAGACTGACAGCTATTATAGAATAGGCAGATATTCTGGGCACAAGTGACTACATTGAGTGCTCCACCACTATATGGCTGCCATCCATCGATATGGTTATGAATTGGAAAAGTAGTTATTCTGGTGTTCAGTGCCTAAGCCATAGCCATAGTCAGTGAATGGCATTGCATTGCAATGTATTGATAGGAGTGTATAGTTGTATACAATATCTCTATAGAGATTGAGTGCAAAACACTTTTTTTATGCTTAACCGAAATTCTATTTTTTTATGATGTCTTTAATTAGTTTTAAATGGATTTCATATATGATTTCGATCTGAGTGTAAGATTTTAATGGTCACAGAATCAGATAGATTTAGAGAGAGAGAGAGAGAGAGAGAGAGAGAGAGACTAGTATCCAATTAAAAGTGTGCAACTGTTTGAATGGCATGGATGTCATGTCTGAATGACTCTAATAATTAGTGGCCTAACATCTCAATTCAAACCATCTTTTTATTTGTCATACAATTTGTATGAAATATGAAATGACTTTTTAAAGAAAACATTTTCTCACATATTTCCTAACAAATGTGTGTACTTTATATCAAATATAAATAAAAAGCATTTCAAAATATATACTTATCTAGTTTCAAATGCATAGAAATTTCTATTATAAATAGATGACTTATAAAAAGTCCTATTCTTACATATTTTCAATGACTTTATTATACAAAATCATATTTAAATTTGACATCAATTTTTTGACGATTAATACAAGTTATGTAAACCTCGAATGAATCCTTATTTTTGAGCTCATATTTAGGTGAAAAAGTCACATAAAATGCATAAATCTATCGCTTATTGATTACCGGAGAGAAAAAATTGTCGAAAAACTATAATTGGATTCTTATATATCATAATATATTATACGAGTGTATGTCTTAAGTCAAGTTCAGGGATATTAACATTGAGATCCAATTTCCCATTTAATTAGAGGTCTATTTATAACTTTTTTGTCGATAGCATGTTATTATAAGTTATGTTTGAATATTACTTTAACTGTAATTATTATTTCCTAATTACAGTGCTTTAAACGTATGAATTCCTAATAATTAATTAATCAGACAGTAATTTTTTGCAATTTTTTCAATTAAATATTTTTTATTATCGATATAACAATCTAATCAAATATAAAACTTAATTCCATTGAAACACATGTTTTGTTACTTTTTAAACAGACTTTGAATCTTAACGATCGTTACATTTAGCTTTTAATGATTTATAATTTTTTATATACAAAGTTAGATATTTGTAAGATTTAACTCTAAATTAATATATCTATTAATTTATAATATATCTATAATACACAATATATGTATTCTAAACAATTAATTATAACACTATTTACTGTATTTATATATTTATAAATGTATAACTATTTTCTCAAATAACAAAATATTTTTAAATATAACTCCAAATACTATATAATATTTATACAGAGTTCTGTATAATAATGGCATGAAACATAAATATATATAATAATAATAATAATCTTTTTATAAGTAATTAATAAATATTTGTTTTTGTTTTTCTCTAAAATTCCTGGCTTAATATTAGGGCAATAATATGTTTTTTGATAACTAAAAAAGGTTTACCAAATGTACTGCATTTATAACTCCTAATATTTTTCTTTCATATCCCGCGATACATACATAATAAATATTTGATGAGTTTTTACCATCAAATATACAAAAACTGGTGCCTTATTTGCTGTTAATTTTTTCATTACATATCGCATGCATTATACATTTATATACGGTATTAATGATATTAGCGGGTGAACGAAGTCAAAGAAAAATAATATTACAATTAATTGTAAGTAAACTTTGTGATCAAAACATTTATATAAGTTACGTATGATTACTATTAATAGTATATAACAAAAAAAGTTTTGTGTATCTCATAATGATTTGAGCGAATTATTTGTGTCCGTTCGCTGAGCTATGAATTAATTCCGAGTCTTTTCAGTTCACATCCAATCGTTTTGTTTTGTTTTGTTATTTAAAACAAAAAACTAAAGTTATTTATTTGGGATTTAATATTTATCTTTATGTAAATCTCGTGTCCGATAAGCACTAAAGCCATAAATTATTTACTCAATTGTATTCATAAAATTCATTCTCATTTAACTGTATGTATGATAATATTTTGTTCGCTAAAAGTTCAGTTGTTTTTTCTACAAAAAAAAGTTATAAATTTAATTTTTTTTTCAGTCGAGTCTAGTGTTAGCGATATTCTCAGAGAGCGTGAGAGAAAAAACAATTTTTTATATGTCGTAAACCTTTTTCCACTGAAATATCGGATATTAAAAAGTGTGACAATATTTTTGAATCAATAGATGAGTGGTTGAGATGGGATGACACGGCTATTGCTCGGCTATCCATCCCTTTTTCGGTTCGCTCTCACAAACAATTTTATCCATCCATTCGTCACATGAAATAAATTTTTCATTCATTTCTATCTCTCATTGCAATCCAGTCGTGTCGAGGAATTGCATCGATCTGATGATAGTCTCGTCCTTTTCGGTGGCAAACAGAGTGTGTGGAGTCGTATGGCAACAACGGATACAATGAAAATATATATCACAGAGAAGTGGAGTCAAGAAAAGAGAGATTTAAGTTTGAGTTTAATTCAATTTTTGAGAGAAAAAATAAATATCGCATTCAATTCAATGCAAACGCGGCGATTGAATTTCAAACGACTATTGAATGGCTATTGAAGCCTTCAATCGCGACTCGCGTTTCAATGGATATGATAGCAAATGAGAGATAAAAGTGGGTATACTTTAAGGCAAATCTCCATAAACTGGTCGTACGTAATATAGCCATTCTTGTGGACGTCCAGCCTTTCAAATACTTTGTTCGCGTGCTCTTCGCAGGTCTTCATGTCATAGGCCGGGGAGACATTACAACCCAACAGCGCGTATATGGCGACCGATATCTGCACCAATTCGTCGACTGTTATCCGGCCTATAGTTTTGGTCCCAAAAAATCAATCGATAGTTAACTACAAAGTTATAAAAATATTTTCTTTCGGGTGTCGAGTGATATATATAAAAATATTGTCGCATATAAAAAGTAAATTATATAATCGATTCACTCGTAAAGTGTATCTTTAAATCAGATTGCATTATATTATAATGTTTTTGAATGGCTTTCGACATAAAGTCTCGTTTACAGTAAAGCGATTCACTCGAGAAAATAGCGTTTTTTCTCATTAAAGTGAAACTCAATTATATTTCATTTGTCTAAGAATTAAATTAGAATCAAATGTTTTTTGTATATAAATTACTTTAATTTTGTGCTTAAGTTAATGAAAGCCAGACATTGACTAAAATTAAGGGGCAAAAAGAAATGGTATTTTGGGGTTCATTAGTGATTCTTAGAGTGCTTTATATTCAATAAACTGAATTCATTCTCAACTCTTATCATCAAAACAATAAGATTACAATTCATATGATTAGACTTTCAAGTTATATCTCAAAAATGCTAATTTGTCTCAATTGAAATCTATATGGGATTTGTTTTTTCAACAAATTATACAGTACTGTACAATGTATTGAATCTTATGGTTTATATTTGAATACAAAGTTTGTATCTAAATTATATAACTTAATTATTACTAAAATTCTCATTGTTTAGATCCATAATGTATAAGATAATAATATTATGTATACTTTTATCAAATTATAATAATTCTGTGTTTAAAATTAAGTAGACTATAAGGAGTTATTATTGGTTTATGTATTTATGTCAAATTAGTCGAGTATTAAAGGTCGTATCGATTTTGTATAAAGTTTGACAATAAACCCACAATGCTCATAAAAAGTTACTATATAAACATTCATAAGATTTTTCAAATGTTATTATTTTTCTTATTACTTTGACTTCTCAAATGATTTTCCACATAATTTCAATGTCTTACTTGTTAGTAGTCTTTTCCCGACAAATTTCAATATAAATTGTATTATTATTTCTGTTTTAAACCAATTATAAAGTGAATTAATTATAATTTGAATTTTTCGAGACAAACTCAAAGTATCAAAAATAATTTTATGCTAAAAATTAGTTTAATTAGAAATAAAGTAGAGCTTGATTTTCAAAACAATAGACACATTTTTGGGATCTCTTATGAAAGCATTTATCAATTAATTAATTCCAAGCGTATTGTCTGACAAGCATTTGATTGTATTATAAATTCAACGAATTTTAAACACATTCCTCAAACCTTTCATCTCCAGAAATATCAAAGTATTATAATATTAATACACAAACTAATGGAGAACTGTATCTCAGATCACATCTCACTCTTTGTTTTTTGCACATCTCATAGGAAACCCTATTGTCATAGAAATGATTCATTGGACGCCAATAATTCATAAGATTATAGCCGAGAGTTGTATAATACAAACACAGAATAAGTAGAATAAGTCACACATATCCTTTGGGAAGTGAAATTGGCAGTAAATCTAAACGTAATTTATAAATTGAATTTAAGGTTAATTGTGAAATCTAACAATTTTATTTTAAATATATGCTAATAATGATCAAGTTCGTATGGTAATTTTATTTTTATCATCAATGGTATTGAAGTA